TTCACAACTGTACGCTCACAAACCAAACTGAGATGAAGCGTGATATATATATTGACACAGAAAAGTGGTTTTAGACCGAAAAGCTATCAACACTGGTCTGTTACATGTATCTGGACTCACTCCACGATTCGCAGGTAGTAGTAGTCGATAGCGCCCGAACGTAAGTGCACTGGGAACAGAAGTTTTCATTACATTTATTTTATTGCAGCCTCCATGTTTCACATTAAGTATGTATGATTCAGTTCGTGGAGAGAGTATTAAAAATTATCATACAAATTACATTTTAGTTGGAAATACATTTCACTGCTATAAACTCACATTGCCGCTGCAACTTTTACGGACATTAATTTCAGTCGTAAAAATAAGAACAAAGAACAGCGACCAATTACAAACAGGATAATTTTTTTTTATATAACAGTATTATAATATCTTGTTAATATATCCTACAACAAAAAATTACAATGACGTCATTCCAGATGCTCAGTTCTATTACAATACATAATTTAATTTTCCATTTTGTTCATAACTTCAATTAGTACAGATTCCAAAGAAAAATCGAAGATATAAGCTGTTCCCATCACTGTAATAATTATATATAAATTACTATAATATAAAATAAATGATCCTGTAATGTTATACTAATGGTGGATAACTAGTAATTGTGAATATCTAGGGGCCTTACGTCAAGAATAATGGGAAATTCTAAAGCAGAAAAACAGTCATAAATATTATCCTTGAAGTTAAAAAAACCCTTAAACAACAAATGGTTACGAATTAAACCACCACGTTTCTATTGTACAAACAGATAACCAGCGATTATGCATAATTCCTCTTATAAATTGTTAACAATAATTTGTTATTATCTGTTCTCCAAGCGCGTGGCTTTCGTTACTACAATAACAGGATTGTTCACTCCTACCGAAAACTGTGTAGTGCCTAATCATACAGTCATGATACAATTTACGGAAAATAGGCAAACAATGACTCAGTATGTACATAAATATTAACATTTACTGGCACATGTATATTTTATAGTTTAGGTAAACTTCAAGTTTTTATGACTGTATCACAATTACTAAAAACCACAGAATAAAACAGAGGCGAAGATCCCAGGATTGAGGAAAACCACTCGGGAGACCTAAGGTTAGATGGAAGGATAACATTAAGACTCATCTGAAAGAACGTGGATTGAATTTATTTAATCCTGGACAGGCTCAGGCAGAGATATGGTGTGAAAATAGCTATGGCATTCAGTTATACAAAACGCCGAGAATTTATTGATTGTGAAAACACATTAGCTAATATTAGCTCCACAAGAAGGACTCTGCTCTAAAGAGTTATTCATATGATGAATAGTTTACGACAAAATCCTATAAAGGAAAGGAATTCGTAGTGGAAAATTTCGCTAAAATAGATTTGTGTCCACAATAAATAATTATCAAAACCAGTGTAGAATGCAGACTGTTTAAGAGCGCATTTAGAAAACATACAATCACGTAATAAATATTTTACTAATTTTGCAAAAGCCCAGTGCTGGACGGACACAGTCTTCTATATACAGAACACAGCTCAGTATATGATTGAACGAATAACTTAATGTCCCTCATTCAAACAGTACAGCTCTCCAGGCTAACACACAGCCCTAGAAATAATATCGATAAATAAGATCATATATTAACCCAGGTAAATTTTGTACATCAGAAGCAGCACTCAACTTAGGCTATATCAACGAATTTCAATCTAAACCTTTTTTTTAAAAAAAGGTGAGTGGATTAACACTAGGGGCTATTTTCGTTTCATAAAGGCTGCGCCGAGCTGTATGGAAATTTCACACGTCACGAAAGTTGATCTAACAGACGATAGCTACATGGTCAGTTGAAAGTCAACTCCTTTATCCGGTGTAGCAAGGTGTGGGATCAGGGTGAACTCAAAGCTCAGGACCGGGTGGTAAAACCGTGCAAGTTTGTCACGCAGGTTTGTCAAAGATTATCAACGATGATAAATGGATATGAGCATCGATGAAATGATAATTAGCATCGGAACACGAAAGCCAGTCATTCAAAAAGAAGCCTGCATCAACGATATCCACTGGAAATCACACATTATTCCACATTTTGGAATTGACATCTAAACCAATGTTCTTGTTCTGGAAAGTTTAGAGAAAAAAAAGTGTCTCCATCTTCAAGGTTGAAGACGGAGGAAGTATATATGTCCGAAACGAATCTACAAGTTCATGAGGCTTTACAACCAAGCACACCAACGCTGAGGTAGACAAATGCGTTTCATTTGTCACCGGAATCATTACGCGTGGAACACGGTTATGAACATTTGGGTTGCATAACAAGCAGGGAATTTTTTAACTAACCGAGCGACTACTGGCTTCTTAAGCAGATCTCTATTATATTTAAATAACCAACCACACGGACAACAGTCCTTCTTGAGACGATAATCTCATACGTTGTTAAGAAATCTTTATGATTAACACAAACACTAACGAACGTACAAAGTAACTGGAAGAGATCACACACAAAAAGGCTGACGTAACACTAGAGTAATGTTCTTGAAACCACACGCGTATATGAATTCCAGTAACATGATTTACATATAGAATAATTTAGAATACATATGGTACTGACTGCCTTTTGAGTGATTATATATTCTTGTCAGTCTCACAATAATTAACTTCAATAAAGGGAAATAACATTTACTGATGTTACAGAGAAATCCACTGACATCAACACACATTATTTTATTTCATTTTATTCCTTTTGTGCAGTGATTAGCACTCCAGCGAGATCTAGGAGTTCAGTGACATCACAATATCATATCTACTGACGAGAATCATGACAGAATAACCGAACCTAAAATTTAAAAAAACTTATACTGAAATGTAAAAAATATATCTCTATAAGGCATGATACATGGGACATAGGACACGATAAAATTGTGAGAAATTCTAATATAATAACGAAAATATATAAGTGTCACCATATTTGCAACTAACGTTAAAATACTTGTGTTATAAATATTTATTATAATATTATTTTATTAGTTTAGATCTGAAAACGTCTCAGAAATTTTAAACCTTAACATTGATGTAGTGGCATTTTTGTATTATTTTATTTATTTAATGTTCTGTCTGACGACAGGATCCTTCCATCCTTTTCTCGGACTGGGACCTGTTCATATACGTTCTTGGCAGATGATCCAGAAGTGGTTTGCCATTGCCTTCTTCTGTGTGTGAATGGAGTAATTGTTGGGATGCCACGGAGAAACCGGGGAAGTCCCCGGAGGAAAACTCCGTGTTGCCTAGACCACGGCCTTGCCCAACACAAGTTATAAATTCGGGCACTGCCGGGAATCGAACACGAGACCCCAGGATTACAAGGCCAGCGTTCTAACTGCTAGACCACCGTGGCTCTATAGTGGCATACCGATATAAAATTTGTTTGCAAAATTCTAGTCCGGATACATTTCAAATTTTGTTCCGGGTACCAACACAAAGGGTGTTAGAACACGAACCACGAACAAAGCTCTGTTCTGTGAGAATCCTTTGTTAACTGTTATCTCTGGCATTGTTCTGGCCACTAGCCCGGAGCTTTATATCATTTCCGTTACACCACTGTAGCACCTTAGAATATTATTACGTTTCACATGTCAGCTGCGTTCATCATTGAGATATTATATTTACATTTCACGAACAATTTCGTTTCTCGTTTCACAAAATCGTTTTACGGTTCCCGAAATCTCAATATTTAGAAAGACACAAACGAAACAATATTCCTTAACAAACCGCATACATTTAAGCTGCATGTATATATACATATATCATTATTCTATAACTGTTTAAAGGTTTAATTTATTATTTTATTTAAAATCTTTAATGAAATTCTGCAATTTAAGAATCAATAAATTATTAATTTTGAAAGTGTTTGTTATAAAATGCGTTTTAATTTATATAAATTTTACGTCTAAGTATTTTTCATGAATAAACTACATTCTGATATTCATTTATTAAAATCAATTTAATTTAGTTGGCGAGACTTTTAAGTTATCTTAAGGCGACAAATATCAGAGATCGCCCTGATAATGGAGCCAGCAGGCACCTCTGAAGGGAAATACTCACTACCTACTAGGGCAGCTTGAAAAAGAGAGAACTTTTCTGGCAACCATTACATGGGTGAGGAATATCATACATTTTACTAATTCTTAGCGTGCCCTTAAGGTAATTTTTTTCTTTCTATTTTCCCATAAGAACGCACCATTGTGACTTTCATCGAAACACATTTTCACTTTATTAATTGAAATATAAAACAGAGGAATACAAATAGCTATTTCAAGTATTTTTTTAAAATTAAAATTTATTAAAACTGGGGCATCTACTCTCGTCCATTGAATATAAATCGAAAAGTGAGTCTGGATGCATAAAAACACTGAAAAGGGTATTCCTGCACTAAACGAAACATTTGTCAGTAAATAAACGGTCTGACGAAAGGAATATTTTAGTATAAAGAAATGTATCTCTTTTTTTTTTTTTGTCTTTACTAGATACGAAATACTAAAACGGCTGCCTGTTATCTTTGTTAATATAAAGCGCTCTCGTAATACTAAATTTTGCCTGGCCTCGGGCCGCACGTTCCGAGAAGTTTACACATTATTAAACACGAAACGTGCGTTAATGGCTTGCTCATAAAGACAAGCGTAAATGAACACTCCGTATTCGGTGCTCCAGTGGGAACAGACTTACATAAATGAACGCATACTTCCACGAAAAACAATCATGAACGATACGGCAGCCCTCGGTTTCAGACTTTCTTTAAAAAATTATTTATATTATTTACAAAACCTAATTAACTTTTAAAGACGAAACGCCTTTGTATTTATGACATATTTAATATTTTTACCTAATTAGAAACCTGATTATTCATTACTGTATTTTTATAAATATTTTAAGAATAAAAATAGCTAAGAGAAATCTCTATATGTAATAAAAAGCTTACTTTTCAATCTATGGTGATTAATGAAATCACCCTGGACTGCCAGGATGCTGGTACAGATGAGTGCTACCACCATCTGGCGGTGATAATGATGATGATGATGATGATGATGATAATGGCAGCGCTGATTTCTCCGGTGCATTGTGACGTTTTAGTTTGATATTTCTCACATCGACAAACGCCTTTGCTTAAAAAAATAACCTACACCAACAAGAAAAACATAAAAACCTCTTGGTGTTCGCACATTTCTACACAAAAGACGATAATATAAAGAGAGACAACACGATTAGTAGCTGGAAGAAACACCGATTCACTTACATCTACAACATTTTTAATTTTGGCACACCACACATTGCACGTCGCATATGTAAAACACCACAGAATTAAATGTTACACAAGATCTAATATTACGAACTTCTTGAAGGTCCCACTACACGTGGAGCTATTAACATGGATTGAACACTGTAATACAGAACACGAAAGCAAAACACAATTGACGCTGACACTTATTTGATGACAAATGGAACTCATATATTACAACCACTCGTCCATGACCTCCGTGAACGTAACTAATTCACAGTCTTCTAATTTCGCACTACATGTGTTATAACGTATAATTTAATCAATTCATAAACAGGGTAAAACTTTGAAAGTATATAATTCATGATATCCATTACTAAAACTAAAACACAGGGTATTAAAGTACTTATTCTTTCTTGTTTCTGAAAATGTTACTGTAAAATTTTACTATTACAGAAGTATCTCTTGTCTGGATATCACACGAATTTTTATAATTTACTTATCATTAGCGATGAAAAAGTATTATCGCTTACAGGTTTATAAGAGAAAAAATTCTCGTTGGAAGAGTCAAATAATTATTCACTTTGTCTGTGTGAAAGAATCAATAACTGATTGATCTACCAGCACCAGAAATGGGAGTCTGGAAGGTGGACACGACACAGCGGCCCTCTGTAGGGTAGCCAGGAACTGATTTTCCGATTAGCGTCCGACCAGCTCGAGGTTTCTCCGTCGACTCGTCTAACACCGGAGACGCCACTGCGTTCGCGCGCTTTTACAACTCCGTACCTGATTTAATGTAACTCAGGAACATTTGTCGGTTTCATTGGTTATAAGGCGTAAAATGTTGGATTACTAAAAATGCAAAGCAGAGGATGACCCAACGATTTGCGTGAAGGAATTTGAGGAAAATCAAAAAAATAACAGCCGACTTCTTGACCGGAATTAAAATCTGTTACATTCAGAATACAAAGCATGACTTTTACAGGAAATGTATTTTTCAGTATTATAGATTATTCAAACGAAATTGTATAAGACAATAGCTTAATACATTCGTAAAGTCATAAAAATTCGTTCAGCCATTCTCGGGCTGTTTCATGCTGACGGACAAGCACTTAGACATTAGCAAGCACATATTTTAATACTTCTGTAACTGCGTATGGATATAAAATTTAAAAAAAAATGTGATTAATTGAACGTAACTAGTAAACACGTCCAGTCGCTCTGAGACAGCTAGACAGTTGAACTATTAAATCTTTATTTAAAAATAATTTTTCGGACGTACATGACGAGTACTTTGCTTCAAATGCTTCAGTCTAATTACCTACTGAAGAGATAAAAAGGTATGAAGGACCAGGTATTAATGAAATTCACGCAAAATTAACAAAACAATGCGGTACAACATTACATTGCGACATGTACAAAATGTATTAATTCTATTTGCAATAAAGAATAACAACCAGAGTTTTAACAATCAATTATTTTACGTATAAACCAATTTATAACAATGGCTATATAACCGCCTGTAACAATTTTCCAGAACATCTCTTGTTATGAACCACACACAAAATTTTATGTAACATTCTTCTGGCAAGCCAATTGCATACACAACAGATTCTTCCAGAGAGAATGGAAAATACGTGAAACCTCTGTCGAGAGAGGGACAACCTCCTAACCGCGTATCTGGGAATGCACGTCAAAATCATCTCTACCAGAGCTGAACCACTCAAAATAATTGAGGTCAATCAGAACTGTGTGGAGCATTGCCGTATGTAAGAGAAACGGAGGGAGGGCGCCTTCGTGCAGAGAGCGGTAAAGTGAATGATCCCATTTCTCCGCATGTCCAGTTCGAAGTGACGTCAAGTCGGGCGGAAAACTTTCGTTCCGCACTATGAATGCGCGACGCATTATCGAAAGAATAATGGAAAGACGCAGCGATCAGTGACGCATCTACGCGTTCTACATTCTCCAGAAATTTCTTTTTGCATGGGCGATTGAAGAACGCCAACTTCGTTCATTGAGTGCGGTAGATCAAGTTATCTCTCACGTGACACATCACTACGTCCAGTATCAACCTTGGTCACACATAACTAACTAACCAGATGGCTTACCGAACCCGAAGGTTCATCACCGAATTAACCAAAGCCCTCTACCGGACCCTGTCCTGGGCCAACAAAATCCAGTTTCCTTCAACTCCTATCTCCAATAGATCCCGTCTGACATTATCCTCCCATCTACGTCTAGGTCTCCCCAGCGGTCTCTTCCCTTCAGGCTTAGTTGTTCTAGATGACGAAAAATAAAGGGAAGACAATAAGATAGAATGAGAAAAATAAACCAGAAGAAAAGGTAAGTTCGGCTAAATCACCCTGGCAATATTGGGAGAGGAGTGCAGATTTTTAAGCTCCTCACACATGACTCAATAACATCAAATTTCAATGTGAGTTACTCAGAGAATTTTCTTATGTGTATTCTTATGCGTTGCATTTTTATTGTTATAATTCGGTCTTAAGGAGTGTTGGTGGACTGAATCAGACTGTTTCGTTTCTCTTCATTACTAGCATATTAAAACATATAATTTAATTTAATAGACTTAAATCTATCATTACAATGACAACCAAGCACCTGTAATCAAAAATCAAGTCCGAAAACATTTATTGTATCAAATACATCTCATAAAAGTGAAAAAACCCTACTTAATAACAGTGTAGTATAATTCTGCTAGATTCTTATTCGCTTAAAGCACGAATGCTAACACAACGGAACACACACTTACATCGCTAATCTAGCCTTGAAATTCGGCTGAATAGGATACCGATGTAATTAGTCCAAAATCCAATATAATCCGCTTAACAAGAAAACCAGAGTCCAATATGGCGTGGGCTCGTATCCACCTTCCACTCCATCGACACAAATTAACCTTTATATACCATAACATACAAATGGTGCTCGGTTAAGAAAATTTATGTTATGATTATTATTCTCGTTTAGTGTCTCTTTGAATCCACGCCGTTTCTGAAGTAAAAGCAATGGAAAGGCAACTTCCATGCAGCCTTAGGATATAATATTGATCCATAACGTGTTTCCAGCACGTACGTAAGCCTTAGGTCACAAAACATGGAACCATAAGTACGATATCTGTGTTGTCCCTTATCAAATTTTGTTTTTAGAATTATAAATGCTATCTAGGGATCTGTGTAGGGTTCTGAGGTGTCCCAGGGATATATTTCTCTACAGTTAAGTATGAATAGAATCCTAAAATATAACTATTATAGTTGTAAACGCTGGTCTTCTGGGTTTTGACGCCGTGTGGACTTTCACACAGATAACATTTCGGAAGAACACACTCTCTCAATCTTCAGCCTCGAAGAGGCATCACTTTTTTATTACACAGCCACGAACATTCAATAAACTATCCCGCTTAGCCTGAAAATTTACAACCCTCAAGTCTGTAAAACAAGTTTTAATTTGACCCTCGGTCTGGAAATGTTTCGGAACACCTGGAATAGCAGAACATAAAAGAAAGACGCTGAACCAGACAGAAAGACCAATAATTGGATTTGGCACAGTCCAATAAATCTAATCCATTGAAATGTTAATAAGTTTCATTTTAATTGCAATTACAAATCCTAAAGTCTTCTTCTCTCTCTAAGATAATTACGCAACCTGGGATAATAGTTCATTTGGAGTGGGGTGGAAAAGTACATTTTAATATTATTCGCACTCCGAACATGCTACAATGCTGCGCCTAACACTGTAAAAAAAATCTCTTAAAACACTGTTACATTATTTACCAGCTGAAAGATTTGAAATTGGACTCTGTATGAAGGAGTAAGTTATGTAATAAATTAATATGCCTAAAATTTGTTAGTTAAATTATATATTTTACTTTGATTTCAAGAATCTCTTTTTCAGAAATTCTTCTATCTTAAAATATAGGTTACAGAAGCTTTTTAAAGTTTATGGAGTTAAAAGAGATGTAAAAAATGGCTTCAGGCTGTTATAAGACCGACTTTGAGAGGGCGCTGGCAGTCTATCAGCGGATTTGAGAGAACAACAAACTAATATCAAGCTCTGACGTCGGAATAATATGGTCAGATTTGAGAACCGAAACTCTGACAATAAAGATAAAGCGCTACTACTCTGTCAGATCGTATGTTGCGAACTGGTATCAGTTATAGGAAGGATATTTTTATGATTGGTGAATACATGGGTTTGGAAGGGCGCTGCAGACGATCGGCAGGAAACGTATTTCTAGAATATTATTGGTATCGGATTTCGGTTCCATCTCGCGGCCGAGCGTCGTAATTAAATTTTGGAGCCAGTTCCCATGGACCCACTATCGGAATGACACCCACGTGAGATGTGGAGGAAAATAAATACTTCGACTTTCGATCTTTGCTTCTTCCTTTCTTTGCTTTTTTCATATCGCCTGTTTTATTGTGCTTTGATCATTTAACGCCGCCTTCTCAAATTGATAGATTATGTACCCTCGTCTCCAAGAAGGTGACGTGTCTTGAAATATGAGTTTCATCTTGGAAAGGACACTTTAAGGTATGGGATATTTCTGGATGTTGAAACAACGAATTTATCTTCTTACATAAATACCTGGAATTTCATTTACGTGCGAATGTGTGTTCGCTTATATACATCGAGAACAAATAAACAGACTTCCACCAAATTTAGTATGCTTATTCCTTGAAAAGAGGAAGGGATTTAAGTACGTTCGAAACTCCGAAAAAGTGTCCCGGGATTTAAACCCCAGCGAATGTAATTTGTGCTATCTTGGAAACAAAGCATGATAGAGGAATCTCGCAAAGACTGACTACGTTTGTTTCGACAAGGACACTGCAACCCCCCAAAACTGTCGTCGGTTCAAATCCCGGTAAAGATGTTTTCTGTACCTCGGAAAGTAAACACGATTGAAGAAAGGCATTAGGAACAAAATTGTCTGTTTTGACGAGATTGCGGGAACAAATTCCGAACGTTCTTTATTTTCCACAGACCTTAGGCTATTTAATAAGGTGGCGAAGTGAAGGATATAAGAAAAGGGTTCTCCCTATTACAGAGTTTTAATCCGTACCTAATATCTCAGTCAGTGTTGTACTTTCTGCAATAAAAATCATCTTCCAACTGTCCAGTGTCATTGAATTGTCCAGACAGTTTTATTTTGTAAATGGATCCAAAATTGTACGGCACCCAATTGCAAAATCTTCATCTTTAATTATGAAATGGTGAACTTGAGTTACAGCAGCAAGAGCCCAGAGATGGCACATTAAATATTAACACCACAATCTGACGAAAAGAAAACCACTGGATTCCTTCCTAACTCGCAGTAAAATTGAACGTGATAAACCTTCATATTCCTGTCTCACACGAATAATTTAGTTGCATCTGAGTTTTGGAATGACGAAGAAAATTAAGTACGTCTCTTAGAAATGCTCGCGTCTCTTAGAGCTTGACATAAAGTTCATAGCAACTACGTGAATTTTTTATGTTATAGCATTTAAATATACATCGGTTTCGTTCTGATTTCAGAGAAGCGGGAACATACACAGTAAAACAGATGAACAGGAATATGCGAAAATTTAAGTAATTGTAACATAGACGTAGAAAGATATCAACATTTCAGGGAAATATACTTCTAGAGATTTCAAGAAGAAAA